AGGGAAAGGAATAAGTTCTAATGTTTGCCATTATTGAACGATTATACTTGTGTGTATATGTATATGCACATGCATACATGTATGTATGAGAGTATGTATGTATAAATGTATCACTAGAATTATAACAACTAAAAAATCTGCTGCCCTTCACCTTCAGCCAGTATATGTACTAATACAAAACCTGTATCCAGACTAGTATAAAGCAGATACTTTAACTTTCCAACATATGATCCCACTTGAAAAAGCATTTAAAACTATGTAAAACTTGTAATTAGGTGCATGTGTCCTTAATGGAGATGGATTAGTGTGGTCCATAAGTACTTTCTTGAATGAGAGCTATGCAGTGAACCTTCCCACCTCATCAATATATTTTTGCTTGCTGGTAGCCATTGACAGCCAGCACAGGAGAATGTGAATAAAGGTGGTAGGGTACAAGCACTTCTAAAAGGAGGAGGAGCTTTGGAATCCAGCCACTTTTTAACATAGACCAATTCATTTATTCAAGAAGTTATCAGTTAAAAAGTTACGTATGAACAATTGTTTGTAGTCTTGCAAAAGTAGTCATGTAAATATCACCTATTTCTTCACCTTATTTACAACTTTTTGCCTTCTGTAGGCTACCATGGACCTCTGGATCTCTACCCAGAATTTCACAGGATTGCTACTGACCCAAGTATTCACACTGTGCCAGAGGGGAGACCGGTTAATGTCTGTGTGGGAAAGGAGTGGCACAGATTTCCAAGCAGCTTTCTCCTGCCAGATAAGTAAGTTGTTTAATGTAAAAGGTACAATGTGGTGGGATTCACAAGGAGGGGCACTTCTCATAAGAAGTTTTTACGGGAGTAACCTTCAAGACCTTGTATCTCTGTTGTCACTAGCATATCCAAAACAAAGGATTCCAAAGTTTGTTGTCAGCAGATTACGTTGGCCACAAGCTACTGAAAATTGGTAGTGTGACTGCTCCTCTAGCAGGGCTGTCTACCCTTAGGAATGAAATGTCCTTGGTTATGCTTTTGGTTTTCTCCACACAAAATGTTACTAGCTCCTGCGTTTTCCTGCTGGGCTTTCTGACACTGTTCTCTGCAGTTGGCAGCTCCAGTTCATCCTGTCAGAATTCAGGGGCCAGTTACCAAAACCGTTTGCCAAGGGACCAATGGCCACACGGATCATTCCCACTGACATGAATGACCAAAACAAGGAAGAACCATCTCGATATGTAAGGATTACATCCCTGTTTTCTTTTTCTTACCTTACTGTATAATTTGTATTAATATAATGACTATGATTTGGTCTCCTCATTTTGTTTCCTGGGGTCCATACAAGTTACAGAACAAAAATGGGCTTTCCGCAGCACTTGGAAATTTCCCCATTTATGTGAGTGGCTTCTGTTTGCATTTCATCTGCCTATTTTTCATTTAGAGACATAATAATAATAAAAAAAAGCAGCAGAAGGAGTAATAATACCTAGTTATTGCCATTTTGCTTTTAATATGATGTGCTACTGTGATCACAGGAAACGGAACTGAGTGAGTAGTTTGAAATCCCGTCCTGAAAATGTTTGTCACTGAGCAGGGATTGAAATTTTCCTTTGTACTTTCCTTTCTTTTTTAAATATAAATGTATTCATCATATTTGCAACTGAGAAGGAGGAACTTAATTTGGAACTTCACTGTAGCAATAGCATCAGGATTTCAATGGGACTCTACTAAGATAATGTATACTGGTATTATTTATTTGTTACTCTTTATCGTTGTGTTATCTAAAGAAAAACAGTGCACACATATGAATACTTTAAAATTATTTTCAGCTAACTTCTTTAAAATTATTTAGCAGGTTGAAGCTTAGCAGTGCACTAAATATTCTTTGCAGTGCACTAGATATTTAGTTATCCTCTTTTTTTGTCCTAAGGGTTGAGTGAGAGGAACGGCCAAGAAATGCATAGTCTTTTTTTCATTCTCTCTTAGCACCTTGGAGGATAGCTTTGGTATGTCCATCAGTATATAGGAAGCACTCACATGCAGTGGACCAGGTCTCAGATTTATGTGAGTGTGTCTATCCTGCCTGAAGACCGTAGGCATATGCTTGTTTATGTGGCTCATGACTTTGGCCTGTTAGACATTGTACAAGCACTTGTGAGCTGCTCACAGAAATGGATGGAAGGCAGTACTACAACACAGGAGCAAACTTTGTGGGTAAAAGCAGGGATCAATCTTCTGGGTTAAAGCTCTCTTATTTTGAGCCTCATTATGTAGTTACTGGAAATGGGAAGGAGGCGTGTTCCCACCTGAGAGAAGCTGTCTGCTGCAGTGCATTTAATTTACGAAATCTTTAACTGTGGCATATTTTTAGCACAGACAGCTGGCTGGTGCACAGCCTGTGACTAACGGAGCAAAACACACTTTTGTTTCATGATTGTTTCTTAATGTCACCCTACAATTTTGTTATTTCTCATGCAAGCAAAAGGGCCTAGGACATTAGAAATTAGCTACTAAATGTGAATTTTAAATGGACTTTTAAAACCTTTACTTCTGACCTGCTAATAACACCAAGAGAACAAGATCTTTTCTCAAGTTTAGTGAGCTTATAAGTGCAAGCATACCCATATTTAAAAAAACCAAAAAACCCAAACAAACAAAAAGTTAGCAAGCACTGGAAAAGACCATCATAGGAAATAAATCTAAATAGCATAAGTCTGTTGGTCATTTCAAAGGGAGAAAACAAATGGTTCAAAAGGATTATCTGAGCCACGGACAGCTCAATACCAATTAATGGCTGCAGAAACGGAACTGATTTCTCTGTTTCAAGTGTAAGCATCTATTACTGCTCTGCTTGAGAATTGAAGAGTAAATCTCAGTGTATCTGTTGCTATGAGACACTGGGGAAAAGAGTGATGTGATCTTCTTGGTTTGCAATTCTTCCTTCCTTAATCACGTAGAACAGTACTTAACTTGTACTTGTCCTACTGGGAAGATGCATTTGTCTCTGAAACTGCTGAGAAAGTGGTAAGTATTATGTCTTACAAAGATGTATCTAAGCAGGAAAAGTAGATCAGGCCTAAAAGCTGAAACTGTTAAAAACTCCTGACTTCAGAAGAAGTGAGGAAGTTTTCTTTAACAACTTTATTTTCACTTCTTTTCCAATTCCCTTTAGCTCTGTTTTAAACCATAGGAACCACCTGAAGCTTGATCTCATTTTTGAAATATGCGTTTGAGTGACGAGTAAAACATCTCTGGTTTTGCTCAAAACAGTTGAACTTCATCTGTGGTAAACCAGACAAGCTCCTGTTGTGCTCTATGTGGCCAGGCTAACATTCATCCAGACACCAGTGAGAGGCATGTGGCTGCGGCAGTACAGCAGCAGGCTGTGCCCTTAGCTCCATCTCTGTACTACACCGTGCCCACTCCTGTTATTTGGGATGTGATCAAATATAGTTCTCCACCACTTAGCATAGTGGTTGCATCAAATAGAAAAAGAGTGGAAGGAGGAGAAGGAAAGGAGAACATAAGAGGATAGGATGTAATTTAGAAATTCCTTGCAGCTCCGTTCATTAAGACTGACTTCTTTCTACAAAGAATCATTTCAAGGACTGTATACCACTGAAGTCTTGTGTAAATCCCCAAATAAATGCATAGGTGCTGTGTTGGCCCTCCTTAGCTTCAGTGTAACTTGTAAGAATGCATTGTGCTCTACTTGGAATGGTAGAAGGGAAATCTGTCTTTAACCTGGCAGATAATTCATATGGATTGGAAGTGCCAGCCCTTTTGGGGGAGCATTTAGAATGAGAGAAGTGAGATCAGGCTTAGTGCTTGAGGCAGTAACTTGTCTTTTCTGAGTGATTCTACATCACCTACAGAAAAACTTGGTTAGTGGTTTGGGAGTCTTTTTGCTAATGAGCCAGAACCTCTCTCAGGGCCTGGAATGCTGTTCTTATACAGTGCAAGAAGTGGATTCAACGTCGTCCTCAGCTGACTTTCCCATGGTGTAATTTCATTTGCCACTCAGTTGTGATGCCACGGAGCCATCTGGTATCTACCTAATTAAATTGTTTTCAGCCTAAATTGTTACAATAAACCCCAAAAGTGCTTCAAAAAAGCTGATTCAAGCATGTCCAAGGAAGTTTGCAATAACATTTTGTGGGAGAGCAAGCTGAAATGTGGGCTACCTCAAGAAAGTGTTTGAGGGAGTAAGACAGATTAAGACATAGTCATCCTGAAGAATCTTAGCTGTCTGTATTTAAGGTAACTGATGGGTAGAGGCCTTTGCAAACCTGGCTTAAGGGGCCTTAGTTTTTCATTGATTAATCCAGCTATAGCTGCCCTGCCTTTTTTTTCACCTTTTCAATATGGCAGACTTATGCAGTGACTCTAAGAAAATTTGTTCTCTTGTTGAAACACCTGACATCACACATTACCCTTTTTTCCTGACTTGATGAGATATACATACTGTTGTGCAACCAAAAAGACACAACTGTCTATGTTGTGTTCTACCGTTGTTAATTAAAGGGAAAACTGCCACTTGGGACAGCTGGCCTCCTAAGGAGTGCATATAGATCTCTCATGAAGGTCATAGGCCCTCTGTATAAAAATCAGTGAAACAAATGGACCAGGACTTGTTGCTCCCCAAACTTGATCATGTTCCTTCCATCAGGCACGTAACTTTATTAATATGAGTCCCAATCCTCCTCCTGACAGGGTCCTTAGTCTTTCCTTTCCAGCCCCTGTTGCCCTGATTGTTTGCAAAAAAAATGAAATAAATCTGGAGGGATCTGTCATTTTACAAAGGTCAGTGATGATCTGACCTTGCAAGAACTCCCCCATAGCCTGCACATAGAAAAGCTTGTGCATGAAAAAGGCGAGTTTGCAATCTACATTCTGTTCAGAGCCCTTGAGGGATGAATAAGGACCAAGAGTTTGTGTTGCCAGCTGAGAGACAATTTTTTGTGTGTGCACTGTTGACAGGATCTGATTATGATGCTGTGTGATGCTGGGGCCATGGAGGCTGTTTCCAGACAATAATTCAGCACAATGATTTGGTTTTGTTGCTGTCTTCAGAAAAAACTTGTAACCAGTTTAACACCAAGATGCATGATGGAAGTTCTTAGCCTAGCACAAAAATTTCCTTACAGGTCACTTAGTCTCCTCATGAATTTCTTTCCTGAAAGTGCAGTGGATTGCTCAGTGGAAGGTGTCCTCGTTTATACCTGGGAGCGTGAAGGACGCATGTTAGAAGCATGCATCTGTCCTCCTGTTCAGGCAGGTGGGAGTTGACACACAGGCTTGGTAGCAGCAGGGTGTTTGGGAGGAGCTGGCTGGACCTTTTATTTGCTTGCCAGTTTCCTTGGTGTTTGCTGATCTAATTGGGCTAGGATTAGATGGTACAAAGTGGCCCGGCACTATGATAACCCTGTCCTGCCAGATGCAGGGATTGGTGGCAGTTGTAAACTGAGATAACACAGTTGAAAACTTGGTATTTTTCCTAAATACACCTGTTAAGTTTCTTTCCTTTCACCCTTGTATTCCACCTGGATGAAACTAATGTGACTCATGTTACAATTTGCAAATATTTATTGATCAGGGGTTATGCCCTGTCTTCTGTTCAACTTAATGTGAGGAAAGACTCTGGTGATGTATTTTTTTTATATCTAAATAAATGTATTCTACTTCCCCAATCCCTCACAAATCAAAATATCTAGATTATTGAAGGAAACCACCAATAATTACTAGGATATGCTGTACTTCACTAGTGTCCTTTCTCAGCAATTTCAAAATACTGTACTCCTTTGGCAGTTGGGAATACTGGAGTGCCACAAGGACGGCTTGCAGACCAATAGAGCCAGAAAAAGCATCCAAGAATTCTGTGTGTTCTCAGTTCTCAGAAAGACTGGAGATAGAATTTTCAGGTTAATCTGATCGGAAGTGGCACAACAGCTTAAGATAGTTGCAAGCATCAGTCCTGTTGACTTTGTAGTGTCTCTCAGGTCAGTACTGCAAGCTTTTGCCACAAAACTCAACCAGTGCCAGATGTGAGAAAGCGTGACCCTTGGCTGACAAAACCTAATGTCAGCAAAATACCCAACTACAGAGGCAATAATTGGTAGAACTTGCTTTGCTCCAGTGGCCATTATGCCAGCAAAAGCTCAGCCTTGCTGTGGTATACTGCATCCATGAGGGGCTCATTTTTTTTGGTGTATTATAATGATATAGCTACCCTGGTACGATTCAAACATGGCCTTAGGCTTGGGATTATTGCACTTTTGAAAATGTGACTTAGATCACTTAAAAACAATTAGATGTTCAACAGGTCATCAGCCCATATTTGTAACTTGTCCTCGCCTCTAGATCTCTTGCGTTCAATGCAGAGGTTTCCACACAATGTAGCCTCTTGTGGGGCTACCTTGTGTGAAATTTATCTTACATCTGATGGTTATTATTAAAAGGAAATTTGTCCTCATTGGAACTAAAGTCTTTGAAGCTGACAGTTCACATTTGTCTTGGCAGAGTTTTTATTCCTCAGCAGCTCAAGTGCACAACTGTAGGCATACCTGTGAGGAGTGGGGAGAAGAGGGCAGGAGGTGGGGGCTGTTATCGAGAAAGGATGCAGGATGTTCATATAAATGAATAGTACAGCCTGTTCATATCCAAGAGCACTCTCCCCAGCAGGAAGGAGAAGGCTGCATAGCGCGAGTCTCCTAAGGACATTGCCCGCAGCTCATTTAACTGGGAGGTCATACACATAATTCATTTCTGTGATGTTGCTTCCTCGAATGCATTTTCATAATTTGGCAGGGTGTTGCTAAACATTTTGGTCAGGGCAGAGCAGTTACTTGCGTCATAGGCAGCTGATAAAGGCATGACTGTGCTGATACCAAGTCCACGTGTTCTGAGAGGTGCAATGTGATGTCCATCTGCTGGAAGTGAGGCAGTGAGGGTCATCAGTGCTACCTGACAGGTTATTTGTGCACAAGCCCCACCATAACTTGTGCCAGACAACAAGCTTACTCTACCAGAACTACTTACTGTTTTCCATGGTTCTGCTTAAGCCCTGCCATGAGATGACAAGACTGGTACCATGAGGCTTGCAGAGTTAACAGGTTGTGTGAGCCTTGTGGGTAACCCATATTGGTCTGTATGTGTTCTGAGCCAAGTGTGCTGGAATTGTGTGCAACTGATTGTAAAAGAAGAAGGCATGAAAAATTAGGTGAGTGAGGAGATATCTTTTGCAGAAAGTTGGTACATAGACTGTTTCTTACAGGAGGATAAATGGGGGAGTGTGAAGCACTGGCTCCCCTCAGCCTGATTTAGCATGTACTTTGTTGTCTTTCTTGGGCAGTGGGTCAAGCCTTTGTTGTGTGAACTTGACTGTACATTCTTTAGGGCCAGGACAGCACCTATGCAAGGTGTTGGCTGTGTCTTTGGATGTTTATATATTACAAACAGTTCATGATCATGACAAATGAGTGCTGAGTTCCTATGCTTCCCAGCATGCCTGTTTAGTATTCCTCTGGATGTGCCTTGACATAAGGTGCCCTTCTTACTGTTGTGCATGCACTTTGGAGCAGAATTCATGAATTGCTGTTACAGCAGTGGTAGGAGTAGTTACCTGTAGATGACTCAAAATGAGAGGATATACTGGAAACTGCAAAGGTCTGTCCTTTTCAGAGTTTTTATCAATGATTTGCAGGGGGGAAGGAGGAATAGGCAATAGGCTTATTAAATAACAACTAATGTAGGAGAAAGTACGTAATTAGAATTCAAAGTGATTTTTACAAATTCGAGAAAGGATGTGGAAGAAAAAAGGATGAAATTTAATATGGACAGTGCACTAGTGAGAAATAATTAGGTGAATACACGTATGTTGAAGACCAACCAGTTAGGCACAAGGCCTTCAGGAAAGGATCCAGGGGTGCAATGAATGACTGGATGAATACAACTTAGTAATGCCATGCTGTATGAAGAGATGAGCCACATAGAGTGTTATATGCACAGGAGCATGTTGTGCAACTGTTGCTTTGCTGCTCACCATTAGAAAGTCCTTCATTAAAGTGCTACATTCTGATTTGGGCACTGCATTCAGGATAGATATGACTAATTGAAGACCCACAAGAATGATCACAGGGGTAGAAACATGACTATAGAGTAATAGGATTGTAAAGAAGACAAGAGCCATCTTCAGATAACAGAATTCTAGTATGTAAAAACTGTCACAAAGAAAATGTTTTCTTTGTTCATGATGTAAAACAAATAGGAACAGGCATGAACTGAAAAAGACCCAGTGTAGAAGACATCAGGAAACCTTTCTAATAATAAAGAAAGTGAAGTCTTTTGCCTGGGGAGCTTGTGGAGTCAGCATTGTAAGAAGTCTTTAATAGCTAGTTAGATAGCCACCAAGAAAAACATCAACAGAATTGGTTCTGCTGCTTCAAATTCCCCTCTGTGACTTGACAGTTCCTCAGTAAGAGAGCTGGTAGTGGTACTTCCTCAGAGAGGGACCCTAGGACTCTCCTCCTATGACCAGAGTAGTAGCTTGTATTCCCCCATAAATGTTTTACTTGAAAATATTCAAAATATTTTACCATGTATCCTGCATGAAGCATTTCACCTGTTGCTAGAAATTTAACCCCCTTCTCATTGATCAGTAACAGCCTGTATAAATGAACACATACAACCAGAAGCCTACAAGAAATAAACCATAAGAATGTCTGTCTTTCTGCAGATTGATATTGCCAAATGCCACTATCTGGTGGACTTGGACACAGCAGCTGAAACCCCAAGAGAGCCAAGGTATTCCTCCAACAAAGAAGAGTGGGTAACCATTGCCTACAAGCCATTCCTAGATGCTTCCAGGTACGCTTTACGCATTTGAGAGGGAGGGAGAAAGTTCAGTTATCTGCTTGCAAAAGTAGCTGTATACAGGGAGGAAAGATACATTGGCAAATGCCAGCTTGAAATCCAGTTTCCAGTAAAGGCAGCTTCTTGGCTACAGTGGAACCTTCATCAAATTTTTACTTGCAATATTTATGACCTAGGTTGCTTTAGAGGGCGAAGCTAGATGAGAAGGGTGGTGAGATGGATTATTTTTAAAAAGAATCCTCCCTGTGCACTTCTTGCTGAAGTAATGTTTTCTGTTTTGCTTTCTAAAGAAATGAGGTGTATGTCATCTCCTCACAACAGACTGTTTGAATCTGCTGTCTTGTTTCAGCCAAATTCAGGACAGGCGTAAGTTGGTCTCAACGAGCATGAGCTCTTACAAATTTTATGAAAGCTGGCAGAGAGAGAGGAGGCAGTCTCATCGAGTAAAAAGTCAGCAAGGTCACACATTTATTAGGCATCAGAGAATCCATGGAAGAGACCTCTGTTAGAATCCATTCTCCATTAGTTCTGCTTACTGAACAACTTGCTTGTGTGTCCTGAACAGGAATTTCTGCAAGAAGCAGAGATTGAAATTGCTCTCCTCCAGGCTAACAGGGTGGAATCAGGGTTGTCAAACTGGGAACGTTGTTGATACACTCCTGCAAATACAGAAACCGTCAGCTGTAAGGGGATGGTTATTTAGTCATTTAAAACTCTGGTCATGTAGCTGTCATAACAGTACAAAGAGGCTGACTGGAAAAATCTCTGTAAAAAACTAACACAGAGTTCAGTGCTCTCCTATTTTCTATGTGAGACCTTATTACTTCCTAGTAATAGGACCCTCCAGGGAGGGGAGCTGGTAAAAGCAGTTGAACAGTGAGAAAGAGTGATAATGTTAGAGCAGCTCCCAGGAGTGCTCTAATGTTCCCAGCTTGCTGACACAAACAAGTTTTCTGGGCAAGGTTTTCATGAACTACGTTTACTGAGAGACCTGCTGTTACATTTGGGCAGGACTTTAGGAAGGGAGAATGAGATGGCCAATGAGTCTTATTAATGAGGCAATAAAACCATCTGCATAAGAGTTTTGCAAAAGATTCCTCATGCAGAGCATATACAACTGAATGTGCATTTCTGCTTTGAAGGCACATTCATGTGTTTTTAAAGCTGGTTTATCTTTCTATCCTCTGCTGAACAGCCAGGCTTTGGTTGCTTGGACCTGATCTAAAGTCCTTTGAAGTCAATCAGAGGCACTGAGTCAGGTCCAGATGAACCTTTAAGACACCTTGGGTTAACCATAGAATGTAATTTGCTAGGGGTGCTTTCAGAGGTAGTGGCTGTCTGCTGCAGAGATGCTAGTCTGCCTAATGAAAGCAAAGTGAATTATTCTGGTATGGCTGTACATCTCACAGACTTCTCCAGAATGTCCTGGATTCTCCATGGCTTCTTTCCACTTTTGCTCATTTTTCCTGTACTTAGCTGATGTTTGGTAGAGAAGGAGTTGGTCTGTCTCATGGGGCTTTTTGGATTATTGCATTTTCAGCCCCCACCCATAGCCTCTGAGCTTTTGATTAAAGCTCATGAGAGGCATACCACTGTGCTCTCTTCTGAACCCATTTCATATCCCCTTAAACACTGTGCCCTGCTGAATACAAACCAGCATCTGTCTGGGAGCAACAGCACAGTGTATCTGCTCTTTTTGTGGGAGAGAGTTGAGTCTGCAACTGTAGGCCTTACCACAGGACGGACACAATTGTTTTGAATCCTCTACTTTCACCCAGGCTTTTTTGTTTATTTCTAACTTGGCTGGGGATTTTTCCTGTAAGGTGTGTATACATCTGATACCACCTCAATCCTACTGCAGTATTGATTGATACAGGATTGATTACTGCCTCAATCCTACTGCGACTCAGTCCTGCAATGCTGACTGGAATCAGTGCAAGGAGTTAAGCTAGAGCCAAATGCATAGCTCAGTACTGAGCTGAGTTCTTGTCACTCTTCACTGCTTTAATGCTGTTTCCGTATGAGTCACTCTATGATATTTTTCCTTCTTCTTTTTTCCCCTCCTTCTTATTAGGGGAAATTGATAGGATTAAGGAATTTCCCTATTTACAGCTAAACCCCTGCGTCCTGCCAAGCATAAGTACCTGGCTGGCTTCATAGGTAGATGTGGTGTTGCAGCTCTGTTCTTCTAGGGGAAATGCTGTCAAAGTACTTCCTGCCAGACTGAGGCTGGTAACTTATTCCCTAGCTTGGCAGTGAAAACCTGTGCAATCATTTTGATTCAATATATGATACTGTGTGTTGCATTTAGATCATCTAAACTCCAGTGAGATTCCCAAGCTATATGTTTCTTGTTGGCTAAGTATCTCTGCAAGCCTGCAACCAAACTCTGGTAACCCACTCAGCACAGGGGTGTCGATTGCTGTGTGTGGTCCTTCATGTCTGGCTTGCAAAGGGAGAGGGCAGCATGGAGCAGCAGCTTGTTGTGAGAAGCTGGGAGTCACAGAAAGATCCTGAAACTTCAGAGCATACTGGCTCTGGTAATGATGACACGTAAAGGCAGAATATTGGGGGTGGGTAAAGGGGAGCATACTCCCTAGCTAAGTGATCACCAAGACCTTAGGACAGATTATCTAAAGGCAGTGCGGAGGGAAGGGGATCTTTCTGGCTGCTGGCTCCTTAACAAAAAATGCTATTGCATTAGTGGGAGACTGGAATAGAAGAGTGTTTGCAGAGCATGTCCCAAGAGGAGATCAAGCAGTCAAATCATTAGCCCTGCTGGTGTTGCCTGTCAGCCTCCTCCACTCCTGTTTCTGTGCTGCATGGAAATTCTCCATGCTGTTCCTTATCAACGCCTCACAGCTGGAGCAGAGGGGAGTTGTGGTGCTTTCACCAGTGGAGGAAGCCAGGTTGCCATAGCAGCAGGTCTGATTTCCATCCCTGCTGTTGGTACCTCCAGAGCTCCCACAGTTTGGAGCGCTGGGCTCTGTCCCTTCAGCAGACCTTCAGCAGTTCGCAGGTGGGGCAGCACAAGTGCACAGTGCTGGTGAAGGACTAGCATGGCATGTGGGTGTATTACTCATGCTGAGGGACGAGAGAACCAGCAGTGTCTCCCCATCTTGTCACCCTGCTTGTCTGACAGATTCTTTGTTCCCCTTGAACAGTAAGCCAGGAACCATGGCCTGCCTAGGAGGGCAAATGTGTAGCAGTGGGCGCAGCTTCCCAAGACAACTCATGGTACAGTGAAGAGCAGAAAGAACAAACCACACAAGGTCTGATCTGCCCTGTTTTTAGCCACTGTGTCATTTAACGCATCACATTTAAAATTGGATACTACAGGCAAGGTGAGGGCCCCTTTTGCCAGCCCATCCACAACAGCCTGAGCAAGAGAAATTTCAGACAGGCTCTTTTTGGATTGCCTGCTTCATAATTTTTTGTCATATATTTTTAATTCCTTTCTGTAATTTGGCCCTTGGAGAAGAGGTAGGGTGGATGAGTGATTAAGGGGCTCAGCTGGAACTTGGTGCTCCCATGACTCTGTCCAGGTCTCTTAAATCCTCCCTGTGTTGCAGTTTCTCATTTGGACCAAAAGTTTGTTAGCTCCCCACTTATGTCCAGGAGTTTGCTGGCAATGAATGAAAGAGTGAGGAGCTTCAACTTCATAATAGTGGTGGCAGGTAAACACCTTTGCATTGTTTTCCATCCGAGTATTGGAATTTTGCTGCAACATCCATATAAAGGTTTCCTGTGGCAAGTGTTCATAATGGATCTGTTGAGCTCCTTGCTCTGAACACGTCATAGCATTTCTAGAATAAGACAGCGTTGTTTGCTTTGGGTTTTTTTTTCCCTGAGTCCCTGAGTTGTAACTTGCATAAAATAATGGGGCTCACACAATTCTCGAAAGGGGAAATAACACAAGTTTTGCAGTAGATTGGCATCTGACAGATGAGTTAGCTACTGGCAATTGCAGATCTGCCTAGCAATTGAATGAGATGCAAGGGTCTGTCTCACCCTGCACACTCAGGCATTAGTTATTGTCCTTTCATTGAGATTGGAAAACCTCATTTGCAAAGCAAATACTACTGGTGTGTCTTTCTGTCTGCGGCTGCAGCAGTGTCCTGTGCTGCTAGTCAGCCCTCGCCTTGCTTGCTTCTGTCCTTATCCCAGTCCGTAGAGTACCAAGCCTTCTCGAGTGGGCACTGCAGTACCTCAGAGGGAGGACACGGAGAGTTGCCACTCCATCCAGCTGGAAGGTTCTCTGAGGGCATCAGTGATGCCCTGAGATGGTTTCAGGGATGTAACAAGTACTTCTATAGTCCAGAAAGTCATTGGCAGGCCTGATAGCAGAGAAGGTATGGAAACCCCAGCAAAAACTCTTCAGTGTTTTTGTTCTGTTATAATTTGAGACAACAAATCTAGGCAGTGCTGTCTCTCTTAGTGTTGAGAAATTGATCATTCTGGGGAGTTTAGCTGCAGGAGAGCAGCAGTAACACAGTTGTAACAGCATGTTAGGTGCTAGAAATTGGTAAGCTGAAGGGATCTGTGGGGAGAGTTCTTCACAGGGTCAGACACACAGGTCTGTGGGCAGAGTCAGTAAAGATGCATCAAGAACTCCTATAATGATCCAGGCTGCTTGCATTTCTGAGCATGTACCTTCCCCCCGTCCCCAGCTCAGCAGAATGATGCATCTCTCAAATCCGGCACCTGCTTCCACACAATGATTTGGAAATGTCCCCTGCTACCTATGAAGTAAGTGTAAAAACACTGAAAATGCAGCTTTTTTTTTTTTATAAAAGGGAAGACGGAACAGAAGAAGTGTCACTTTGAACTGAGCTGTGAGGGAAGCTGCCAGTGTAGATTTCAGGTCTGCAGCTCAGTGGCTGCAGAGCCAGGAGCATTTGGGGAAAAAAAACCCCATCAAACAGCACCCCACCCAAAACCAAACTCCAGCTCTCGTTCTTTGAAAATAAATGACCCCAGCAGTTCAATTCACTCCTGCTGGACTGGAGGCTTCTGGGACTCACTGCGAGTCTCACATTGACGTCAGCAAGTGCAAATGTAAATCTCAGCTGGCTCTGATAAATGGTGCTGCTAATTGAATTAGAGAGTACTCCAAGCCACCAGCTAATTATGCTCCTCAGGAAGCTGCTTTGTCCAGGTCCATTTAATTCTATATTGGCTGAGCACTCCAAATCTGGCACAGAAAAGGGGAAATATATTACAGCTCCCCACTGAGGAGCACATATTTTCCAGCTCTTTAGGCTGAGCCGTCTGCTTGCTCCAAACACTTGGGTTTTCCATCAAAAAAAATATTCTTAGTGCAAAATTAATGATTCGGTCACCTTGTTCTAGCATGTCATTACCCTGGTTTGATAAGAGACACTGTCTCATTCCCTTTAACGGTGCTTTCCTCCATGTTACATGAAATGTTTTCCCTACTTTTGTTTTACAAGGAGCTAAATTACTTCTTAGGTGCATGGTTGGTACAAAATTTAACACCTAGAGGAAGTGCAAACGTTAATGGGTTTTCAGAAAGCTTTGATCGTGAGCTTCCTGTGTATGCCCGTAGCTAGAAGGTACTAGGTTCTGCCCATGTGGCAGAGATTCAGCTTCCTCCTGCCTCTTCTTTCTGCCATTCCCTTCCCTCCTTCCTTCTCATGCTTCTTTTTGAATTCTGCTGTCACTGGGGTAAGAAGTTCAGGTTATAAGATGCAGTTAGGAAGAATCTCCGACCGCTACATGTATCAAACTGCTGCTATGAGCTTGGGAGGGGGGACTTGAACATCTTCACTTAGCAGTCCTCGCTTCCATTCCAGAAGAGCCTCCACTGGCATTAGTAGAACAGGACTGTTGGTTGCTTTCTCCTTAAGTCCAATAGGTATTTTACAGAAATACACTTAGCAACAAATGGCACTGTGGTTCCAGCTCTGCCGGGCATACTGGTAACTCTCTCCTAACTGGGAGCTGCTCTGGGTGCTGCAGCAGTCGCTCCCTTAGAAACCAAAAAATGGAAAAGAATTCAGACACCCCCTGGAATATGCGATACCTCCCATGTCTGGAGCACAGCAAGAACTGGGCAGACTTTGCCTGTGGCCTGGCTCCAGCCTGGAACACACCACTGAAAGAGCCTTGCTGCATCAGCATCCCAGTAGCATTGCACTAGACCCTTGGCTACCCAGCTTGTAGTGATTGTGACCTTGATCTTGCTACCAACATGCTGCTTGAGACCTCTATGCTGACTAGGGCTACACACACTCACAGTCTCTGGGGGACAAATTTAGAAGCAAATGCAAATAGAACATTATATATATTTACTGTACCTGTCATCCCAACACCTTCCATGTGCCATCTGTTGTCTGAGGCTGCTGAGCCTGACGAAGCGAGGTCACGGGAGGTTAAGGTTCTCTGTCTGAATTTAAAGCTCTATGATGACTTCCTGAGCTGTAGGTGCATCAGCAGCCATGATTCTCTCACGGCTGCTGATGAGAGTAGGCATCCAGGGCTTTGCTGCTGTGTAGTTACCAGCAGCAGAGAGAGCAGCCTTGTGCTTGTGTCCAGTCACTACCATTTACCATGCAATATTCAGGGTTTCATATTTTTATATCTGAGATGTAATTCTCTGAGCACATAAACATTATTATTGTTAAGATGTCTTTTAATTTCTGTTGCCTTTTTTTAACCTGTGTCCTTAGACTGGGTAATTGGAACCAATGTAAACTGTTCCCTTTTCACCTTTATAAGTCTTGTTAGTAAAGAGTCATTTTGCTATGGCACCAGCAGCCTGATTAGCTAACACCTGGTGGAAACCAAGGACTCCTTATGGACTTGACAGTTTAAGTAATATGTCATTTCACCTTGAAGAACTTTTGGGGTCTTCTCTGGCTAAATGAGATTTACAGCTCTCCATCTGTGGAGCATGTACTTCTTGTTTTGAGGGAGGACTACAAGAATGTAGATCAGCTGTGGCCTACACCAATTCACTGTATTGTTATTTGTCGTGAGTGCCTTGGCATTATGTATGACAACCACTGGTGGGAAGAGCAGCTATCTTCCTGCTCCACGTTTCTCATAATTTTCCACCCTCAGTATTCTTTTCCATCAGTCATTCCTGCCTCTCCTTTTTTGATCTTTTTACCAATAGTATTTTCTCCTCCCATTTCACTGCTGATAGAAAGTGTGAAACAGTGAACACTGACATTTAAACTGCTGCTAATAAGGGCTGAGTTGCCAGCAAGTTAAGAGCATGTGGAGAGCTTTTGTTGCTCAGGGTTGTTATTTCAGGCTGTCTGCAAACTCAGGATCGTTACACTGAGCTGGCTTATTTGGGAGGAGATTTTTGCTGCTACCAGCTTCTGGATTATCCTTTTGTTCTAGAAATCAAAGCTGAATCCTGCACATTCCGAACACATGCCATAAAGACCATGTGAGCACAACCACGTGAGCTGCATTGGGCCTTTCAGAATACCAACAAGTAAAAGGTATACCGAGTGTTTCTCACAAAAGGTATAAAGAAGAGGAAGTACAGACAGGATAGCAGTGTTTCTGCAGAGCTGTGAGAGGCACAAGCACTGAGGGTAAATACAGGTGCTTAGTTCTGTTGCTCCAGTGATCAGACCCACCATTATCGCGTGCCCACTGCGTCGTACAGCTGTCAGTATGTATATGCAACCAGGTCAAGGGGAGGATGTGAACTGGGTGCTGTGGTCTGACTGCTGTTGGCTCTCCATCTGGACTGAGCGACTGAAAGCATTTTCAGTGCTACAGACTGTATACTTGGGACCTCAGCCATCAGCTGAAGGTGCTGCCTTCCTCTCTGTCCCTGAGCGAAACTGCACAAGGCTAATTCAACAAATTACTTCATATTAACCCAAGCACACACCCTGAGCACTGGGGAATTGTGCTAGTTTCTGTCCCTTTCTTACAATGTAGCAGCAAGCTGATACTCTACCTTATTTTTAATTTTCCTTGTTTTAAACAGCATTCCAAGCAGCTTGAATACAGTTGCGTTTTCATGTTTTTCTTTCTTTTCTTTTTCTTTTCTAAAGGGAATTGAAGTTATACCACACCATATGCAGAGAGCAGCCATGGTAGCAATGGTGGGTTGTCAGGCTCAGAGGAGGAGAAGCCAGAATAAGTTCAGCAATGACATGATGTTTGTTAGCCACAAGAGATGGAGGAGGAAAATCAAGCACTTGTTTTCAAAGGGATGCCTTTGCTTCTAGGGACTGGAGGGAGGACTGACCTCCAATTTCCAGGCACAAGGAAATGACAGCTGCAAAAAATGTTCCTTGTTCAAAATACACCAAAATTACCATCTTCTGCCTAGTTATTTGCTACTAAGAGATTCTGCTTTGAACATGTTCCCGATTCCAGCACCTCAGGAATTCAGAAAAAGCAATCATTTTCAGTGATTCTTTTATTTAGGAACTTTGCTGGGTGCTTTACAATTTGTAAAGGGCCTAAGTATTATCACTGAGTTTTTTGTTCTTCGAAGTAAAGCAATCAGCAATTTTTATATCCTAAAGCACAAGCTGAGTGCTTGGCAAAAAGCAGGCTTAGGGGATGCTGGATGTTGAAAGGAGACATAGTCTCACAGTTAGAAGTGGGACTTGCAAATTTTAGAAATTCAGACTTGCTCAGTCTCTCTGAGGCTAGACAATACTTTCTGCCTCAGTTTCCCCTCTCCAGCGTGGGAAGAATACTGCTTTGTCTGTCACTTTGTCTGTCTGAAGAGGGAACATTTCAACTGAAAAATGCCTTGCTTTGTGCTTGTATGGCATCTTATGAAACAGGACCCTGCTGCTGAGTGGTGCTATGTCAATGCAAGTAGGTACCACCAGTCTTTTCCTGGGCGGTCTTTTACTCCAAGTTGCAGGAGATCAGGAGCAGCTTGTTCTCAGACGAATTACAGTAAGGCTGTCTAAGAACCCTGGGAGCCTCTGGGGAGATGTAGTTCACAGTGGCAGTTCCTGCCATTGTTTTTTAGACTGCATTTTTGAAAGATATCCAGTGTTGCCTTACAATAAGCAAACAAAACACAATTCATCTTTCTTCTGAAAGTGACTTGAATGGGATGTCCAGAACTTTGGCTGTGTTACCAGCAAAGCTGTGTGAATTGCAGTGACCAGCAAGTACATGCTGGATCTGTGTACCAGCTGTGATTAGCATGCTGCAAATCAAATTTGAGTGCTGCTGCTGCTTTTCCAAGCTTCATGTGGATGGAGTTAGACTTAATGTCTGTCAAGGATTGACAGTTTACCAACAAGCTGATCTTAAAGTTTCAAAGATGAGGAAGCAAGACTCTGCCCCAGTCCTGATTTCAGTAAGTTGCTCAAATTTTTGAAGCTTCTAGCAACGTTCAGTGCTGGTGCTGAAGGACACTATGTTTGTCCACTTCACATTTAAACCTGGATTTTACAATTAGTTTGCTCAGTAAGAGAGTACATGCATTTAAAATGTACTCTGCTAGCACAGCTCCAGCAATTAGCAACCAAACAAAAGGTACTAATTTGATGCAGCCATTAAACCCTCCATGCTTGAGTACTCCATTGGTCCAATTGTTGCAAAGTGGTGTGAAGTGCCAGCTCCCAGCACTAGTAGGGCATGGAGTGAATGCTGGCATCCTGCAGCAAACTGCCTTGTAGGCTTTAGAGCAGTCCATCCCTTTTTAATTCAATACTCTCAGCAGAAGATCAGTACAAGAGCAAAACTTCAAAATGCCAGTGGCCATCAAAGCTTCTGTCTGCCCTTCAGACGTGCGTGGAGGAATAGGCGGCCAGAAAGATTGGATAGAAAAGAGGAGATGCCAGGAGCTAAATGCAGCCTTGCTATCATTCACCTTCATAGTGTGCCCTGAGGAGCAGGAGGCCTGCCTGTCTGTCTGATACCAAAGGCCCACAGGGCTGTACTGTCTGCTTTTTGGACAGTGATATCCAGGATCTATGTTTCTTTCAATAATTACGACACCTTCCTGCCCAATCTCCCCCTTAATCCTACTGGAATGGGTAGTGGGCATGCTGAAGAACTGGGCAGGCTGCTGCACTTAAACTGGTGACGTTGGCACAAACCTGCTTTTGTCTCACCGACAGGAGAAAATGGGGCTGGGCTTCATATGCCTGAACCATTAGCATTCCTCATGTCACTGACTCATCAGCCCAAATCTTTTGCAAAGCCTCATTTGTATTGTTTTGAACATACTGGCTAATGAGCGCTTTAAGGATGATTTGCTTTTCCTTTCTGGTTTCAGGTCCTCAAAGCTGCTGCGTGCATTCTACGTCCCTCTCCTATCAGAACAGTACACATGGTATGCAAACTATACTATTCTGAAATCCCGAAGGTTGAAGCAAACCAGGAAAAAAATGGGAGGCTAGCAACACACCTGGGCAACAAAACCAAAAGGATCTGCTGACAGTCTTGGACAGCTGCCTAAGCCATCTTCAGTTCCCTTTTTGAAAGATTGCGCTTGTAAGATTCACTAATAAAGATTTCCCATGAAGTGATTTTGCTCTGCAAGCTTCCAGCTGTAAAAAGGGTGCATCATCTGCTTTCAGTTCTCAATGTCAGGTCTCTGCTCTGCCTACACAGAACATACTGGTAAGAAACCATACGAAAATCCAGCAGCCACCTACAAACGTATTATCCCTGCTGCTCCCTGTGTTATTATCTATTACACCAGAGAAGAGGAAAATGGAAAATAAAAAGGAATGACAGTATGAGGTTCTGCCCCAGGTTGCAATCTGGCACTGGGAAAATCCAGCTCAGCCTCTCTTTCTCTCTCACGCCTGCCCTCCCTCCCCTCACTCACACTGTCCTCATCTACTTAAGTAGTGCTCACCTTCTCCTAGGGAATTTTTTCAGGTAACATTGTTTAGGAATTTTTCTTTTTTTAAGAAAAAGGAAGGGGAAAAGAAGAAAACACATGAGAGACAATTAACTGAATGTGCTGAATGCCAAGGAATGAAGTAGCGTGCACCACAGAGAAACAGCCTAAAGTTGCTCAGTCCAGGAGGATAGACCTGTGCTTTTGGGAGAAAAACCCCCAAACTTAGGAGTTGAGCCAATTATCTGTTTTAATGGGAGTGTTTTTCCTATCTGAGAAACCAAGGGTTTGTTTGCCTATTTATAATAATTTTTTTAAGACACCTATAACATCCTTTGAATTCTAGACTACAGCATATTTCTGGAAACATCCAAGGAGGAGAAGGATTAATTATTTTTTTTGCAGTTCTGTTTCCCAGAATAGATAGTATGTGTTACATTGGTCCAATATGCTTCAGAGCAATGCTGTATTTATTCTATCTCCATTTTTAAAGCATGCAGTATCGCAAGCTAGATGAAGGGAGTTGTTTTCACTTACATCCTTGGAACTCTGTGAGGATGGATGGCGTGAGCAGAGAGGAAGTTCCTTTTGCAAAAAGATTGCGCAAGCTCCCTGCCCCACTGTGATTAGACTGGTCTGCGTGTGCAGTGACAGAGTGAGTGCCAGAGCAGGTGGATCAGGAAGCAGACTTGTATGTCTGGAAGCTGTTGGGATCCAAACAGAAAAGCACGTGCCTCTGAGGATGCATGTGTTGGTCCAGGTGCAGAATGCAGCGCTAGGCAGCTCTCTTGGCTAAGTCTGCAGGTTAATGGCTGAGCAGGATGGGAAGGGCAGGCTGTACCAATGGGACTGTGATCTAACATGATGCTACTGGGACAAAGCAGAACGAGCTGGATGAGGAGCCAAGGCATGGGCTGAATCATAGCAGCTTGAGAAACAGGGAGAGGTGTTCTGAATCTCCTGCATTTCATTAAGGAGGATTTTTTTTAACAGCTCTATTGGAAACGCAGCTTATAAAGTGCAAAACATGGTAAGAGCAGTGTGCTGCTTCGTTGTCTGGATGATTACAGCATGGAGGATGCACTTCTCTCCTATTGCACCCCCACTGTATGGAGGAGCAGTTTGAAGCTGAGACTCTAAATTCAAACTCTGAAGGCTTAGGGAACCATCTGTGGTGTCTAAGTCTTGGCTCTCTTCAGAGAGATGGATTTCACCCTGTGCAAATACCACCCTTCGCAAGAGTCAAATGTGGAGCTTCAAGCTTTTCAGCCAAGCAACTGGTGTCTTGGGTGAGTTGGTCTGGTAGGTCAGAGTCACACTGCAGATCAACGTTGTAGTGTCTGTGTTCACAGTATTCCCCCACCTCCCTCCAGCTGGCTCTACCCCTCGTAAAAATTTACATGTGTTGAACAGGGCTCTACAGTGCCAGTAAATCCAAGCCAAAACTCTTGCCCTGCTTGCGGCCTCTCCACTTCATAATCCCTGACCTTAAATTAAATAAAGAAACAAATGTAGTTAAACAACCAGTTGCACCTCTCTCTGGTGCTGTTTGTGTGACTGTTCCATGTTGTCATAGTCCGTAACCTCATGTTTAATGTGAAAAGACAGTATAGTAAAAATCCATTTTAAATGACTGTGGCTGCTCTACCTTCCTCTCCAGTTTGATTCCTGTTTTGGGGTGGTGGTGGTAGACTGATAACTTGACAGTAATTAGGAGTTGTCAGTGTTTTCCAGAGGAATGCGGCACATGTTTGGTTCCTGGCAGTAAACACAGGTATGGCTACAGGTAG